AGAAAGAAAGAAAGAAAGAAAGAAAGAAAGAAAGAAAGAAAGAAAGAGAAAGAAAAAAAGAGAGAGAGAAAAAGAAACAAAGTATATTGTGCTGGGGCAACGACTCAGTGGGTAAGAACACCCAATGTGCAAACGTGAGGACTTGCCCTCAGACCCACGACACTCATGTAAAGGCTGGGCATGGCTCCGTGCACCTTTAACCTCAATGCTGGGAGTGGGAGATGTGCAGAGAAAGAAGCATCACTAGGGTTTGTTAGCCACCCAGCCTAGCCAAAACCCAGCAAACTTCAGCTTTAGTGAGACAGGAAGAGTGATGAAGCAGGACACTCGGTGCCCCTCTCCAGTCTCCACATGAAAAGCCACAGGGGCACACATCATATGCACATGCACACACATTCATATACATCACACACCCATATACCATACATACATGTATATACTGAGTCATCGCGCTGGCACGATATGCTTTCTTTCTATTCTTTTTCCATTCCTTTGTACCAGGGCCAAGATGTCTAAACTGATTAATTAACAGTGACAACAGTCGCCACTCCCCCCTACCCACTCGGCTCCCTGGGAATGGTGTTAGCTGAGTGTATAAACAGTGAGTTTGGGTCCCAGCTGATTCTGGAAAACTCAAGATCATAAAGGAGGTAGAATAGGGATGCAGAGCCTGTGCAAGAAGTCAGGAGAGCTTTGGAAGTGGAGTAGAGCTGGGCTGCCGGCCACACAAGCTTCTATCCCCAAAAGCACAGAACACAGGACTCACCTCACATGCCCCCAACCACAGGCTGCCCTGGAGTAGGGCAGGGTAATGCAGTACCTGTCCACTGCTGCTCAATGGCACAGACATGAGCCTCTGTGAACTGCCAGGAGTAGGCCAGTTTCTTCCACTCATTGGGCCTCAGATACCGGGAGGCCAGTTGCCAAAGCGCGGAGCGGAGCTGCTGCGTTTCCTGCCGATGGTCTTGCTTAAAGGTTAAGTTCTTCTGAGAGAGGTGACTGCCATCCCTGCATGAAAGGTGGTCCTGTGGGGCAGATCCCAAAAGTGCAGGAGCCATCGGGGCCTTCCCGCAAGCTCTTCATGATACAAGTGATACAGATCCTGGGGGCCTGACTCAGCATGGGTCTGTGACTTCATGTCTGCCACCCTGTCTGACTGTGCCGTGTGCCTTGACCACTGGACCCCAACTCACTCACACCGTTCTTCCACCTAGAACCCACCTCCCTGACTTTCAACCCACTGCCACAGTCACAGCCACTTCCTCCAGGAAGCCTCCAGCCAGAGACCTCTCTGTTCACACACCATTTCTTTATCATCATGAAGTTTATGTATTCAAGCCAATTTATTTCTTGGCCAGGATCCTGCCAGCACAGACCCAAGTCTGCCTCATCTCGGTGTGGCTGGATGCTTGCCTATCCAGCTCCTCATAATCTTGATGATACACAAAGCAGAGATGACCACCCACTTAGAGATAGGGTCCCCAAAATTGGTTGCGGTTCCATGCACACCCAAGGCTGGAGAGATCAATGGGGGTTGTACCTTCTCCCATCGGTAGAAACGGTCAGCTTTTATGATCATGTCCACGAGGCTGACATGGTTGCTACGGGCGGCCACTGCCAAGGCTGTTTTTCCTTGCTGCAAAGACAGAGGCAGAGGGAAACTGGTATGAGGCAGGGCAGGGCTGTCTCTGAACTTACAACAAAACCTCCTGCCTAACGGAAGTGTTTCCAGTCGTTCACACTGGAAACAGAAAGGTTTTCTGGGCTGCATGGTATAGATATGGAATAATAATAATATAACAGTGTTATTATTATATTTATGTGTCTTTATTGATATTGGCATTGGAAGCCATGTCTGGTGTGGAGAAGGCCGTGGAAACTTGAACAGGGGGCTGCTCAGGGCACAGGTACCTTATCTCTCAAGCTTAAGTCAATGCCAGCAATGAAGAGCATCTCTGCTACGTCCTGCCAGGCATGCTCGGCAGCAAGGTGGAGGGGAGTCTGCTGCTTCTGGAGAGAAGATGAGGGGGAGAATAAAGCCTGCAAAAAGCATATGGGGAGCCAGGCACAGTGGCACATGCTTTTAATCCCAGCACTCAGGAGGCAGAGGCAGGGATCACAGATCTCTCTGAGTTCAAGGCCGGTCTGGTCTACATCGTAGGTTCCAGGACAGCCAGGACTACACAGAGACACTGACTCAAAAAAATAAAATAAAATAAAATAGGCTGGAGAGGTGGCTTTGTGACTTAGAGCAAGCACTATTCTTGCAGAGGATCCTAGTTAAATTCCCAGCACCCACATCGGATAGCCCACAGCTGCCTGGAACTCCAGCTCCGGAAGATTTTATGCTCCTCTGCCTCCCAGGGCACCGTCACACAGGGAGCACATACTCACACTCATGTGCACCCAAACACACACACAAATAAAAATAAACCAACAACCTTGAAAAGCTAAAAGTGGAAATTAATTTCTCGACTCTAGGTCATGCTGGGAGACCCCTGGGTCTGAATGGTTGGTTTTTGCAGTCACTCACAATGTCCACTGCGTCCAGATCACTGTGGGCATCTATGAGGAGCTGGACAAGGCCAGGAAAGTTGTGCTTCACAGCGAGGTGCAGAGGAGTAGTGCCCTGCTATGGGAGAAACACACAGTTCAATCACTTGCCCCCTCCTCCAGGACTGCAGATTGGAGGTAGGGTGGGGTCAATTTGGCCAATATAATCTCTCAAACAATAGAGGTGACCAGAGATAGGTGCAGCCATAATGCCTGGAACTGGAGGCCTAAAACTGAGGGTAACAGGTTAGAGAGCCTGCTATGCCAGCCTTGAGTATGTGTACATGGTATGACCTTGGACATGCCTGTTTTCCTGCTCTGGTTTCCACCCTCCTCCTCTGTTACTCCTCATCTGACAAGTGATGGTTGCTAAGGACCCTTCTAGCAACACCACCTTCTGATTCTCTACTCCACTAAATCCACACAGTGTCTGAAAACCACACAAGAAGGTTTGTGTGCTTGTGAGGGGTCTGCATCTTACAAACGGAAGCACTGCAACTCACAACCCAAGCCAGGAGGCACCTGGGGAAGGTGCCTGACCACAGTGATGTATGAATGAACAAATGAATGAATGAATGAATGAATGAATGAATGAATGGGAGTGGTCAGGCACCTAAAAGAGACTTTACACAAGTCGAACACTGTCTAAAGCCTTGTTCGGGGCTGAGAACACCAATCCCAGCAGTCACCTGTGGCCTCCTGACTAATAACAACTTGAAGATATGCCACCACACCCACCTCTCTAGGTGGCTATGACATACATGCTATGGAATAGTACCACCAGTGAAATGGATGTTTTAGATCTATACTCATAATACAATATATACTTATATATTGAACATAAAAAGGTTATAGGACAAAACATGTAAAGACCAAAGACTGCCCTCAGCTGTCATCAGTAGTACAATTCAGGGGAGAGTTATCAGCATCTTAATTAATTAATTAATAATGAAATAATAATCAATTTGTTTTAAATAATTGATTTATTAATAAATAATTACTTGTCTTTATATACTTAATTATTTTTGATATATTATTTTTATGGGTATGAGTATTTTGCCTGTGTAACATGTGTGTGCATGTGTAACATCTCTGTGCAACATGTGTGTGCCTGGGATAGTGAATATTAGAAACGGATGTCAGAACCCCTGGAACTAGGGTTATAGATGGTTATGGGCCTCCATGTGAGTATTGGGAATAGAACCTGGGTCCTCTCCAAGAACAACAGTGTTCCTACCACTGAACCAATCTCCAGCTCTATTTACTTATTTTAAAGGTTTATTACTTTTAACTTATGTATTTCCATGTCCATCTGTGTGAGCATATGAGATTTGTGTGGGATTGTCTGTAGGGGGCAGAATATACTATCCCCTGGGGCTGGAGTTATCGGCAGTTATGAACCACTAGATACGGGCTCTGGAAACAGAACCTGGATCCTCTGGAAGAGCAGAAGTGCTCTTAACTGCTGAGCCATCTCTTCAGTTTCTGCTTGTTAGCATTTTAGTGAATTTTTTTTTGTTGTTGCTGTTGTTGTTGGGTTTTTTTTTTTTTTTTTTGGTTTTTTGAGACAGGGTTTCTCTGTATAGCCCTGGCTGTCCTGGAACTCACTCTGTAGACCAGGCTGGCCTCGAACTCAGAGATCCGCCTGTCTCTGCCTCCCAAGTGCTGGGATTAAAGGTGTGCGCCACCACCGCCCGGCTTAGTGAATGTTTTAAGGCAGGATCTCACTATGTAGCCCTGGCTGGCCTAGAATTCACTCTGTAGACCAGGCTGGCCTCACACTCATAGAGATCCACCTGCCTCTGCCCCCCAAGTGCTGGGATTAAAGGCGTGTGCCACCTCTGCCTGGGAATAAATACATGAATTTTTAAAAGAAAAGTGTAAACTGGTCACCAAACCACAGCTGTCACTAATCAAGGGTAATAGGATGGCTAGTGATCAACACCTGACATTGGGCTGAGTGAGGGTCTAGACTGAAGTCAGAACTCTGACATCTTGACAGCCAAAAGCTGCAAGAATTCCCTTCCTCAAGGAACTGCCTTAGCTTAGAATCTTCTAGTGGAAGGTACCACCGTGCATTTGGGAAAAATCTGGGAAGGAGCAAAGAAATGTTTTTTTGTGTCAGATGTGGTGGTACACACCTTTGACCCCAACACTTGAGAGGGAGGCAGGAGAATCTTTGTGAGTACAAAGCCAGCTTGGTCTATATAGCAAGCCACTGTCTTAAAAGAAAAAAAAAGTTAAACTGTTAAAAAATAGCAGAATACAATTAATTTGGATATCGGAGGAAAGAGATTCTTGATTCCCAAGCCCTAGAAAATCCATGCTGGGATATGCCAGGCTGGTTTTACAATCATTTAAAATTCATATTTTTAGCCAGCCTGTGATGATACGTACCTTTAATCCCAGCACTTGAAGAGGCAGAGGCAGGTGGATCTTCTGGTTCAAGGCCAGCCTGGTCTACAGAGCAAGTTCCAGGACAGCCAAGGCTACACAGAGAAACCCAGTCTCAAAAAACAAAAATAAACAAAAAAGTTGTATTTTGGGGCTATATAATGAATACCAGGCCAGTCTTGGACACATAGCAAGGCTGTTTCAAAAGAAAGGAGAGAAGGGGAAAGGACTTCTTTATTTCTAATTTTAAAAGACATAGCTTTTGAATCAGTAAAATGACTCAATAGGTAAGGGTGCTTGCTGCCAAGCTTGAAGACCTGAGTTTGATCCCTGGAACCATATAGTGGATGGAGAGAACTGTTTCCTATATGATGTTCTCTGACTTCCACTTGTGAACAGAGGGAGACAAAGACAGAGACAGGGAGAGAGACACAGAAAGAGAAACAGAGACAGAGAGATATATTTTACATAATGATAATAATTCATATATATACATATACATATACATCATATACATATACATATAAATGCTTAGTGAAGTCAGTTTGCAAGTGGTAGGTAGTGCCAGGACTCAAGGCCAGGTTCTCTCTCTCTCTCTCTCTCTCTCTCTCTCTCTCTCTCTCTCTCACACACACACACACACACACACACACACACACAGACACATACACACACTCTCTCATTCTTTGTCTGTCTGTCTCTGTCTCTGCCTCTCCCCACCCCTTGCCCCCAAAGCAAACATATTTATTAAGCAAAATTGGGAAGAATCCTAAGGTAGGCACATCTTGGTTTTCTCATAACAAAATCTGTCTTGACCACACGATTGCACTGTCCCTAATAAATCCTAATAGGAAATGACTGGGATGGGGAAGTGGCTTCGTTGGTAAGGTTTTTGCCAAGCAAGCATGAGGACCTGAGTTCAGATCCCAGGCACCCACATAGAAAGCCCACAGAAGCTAGTGTGGTAGCTGGGGGAGCAAAGCCAGAAAAATCCTGCTGACTCGTAAAATAAAATAAAATAAAATAAAATAAAATAAAATAAAATAGGCGAAGAAGGATTGAGGAAGACACCTAATGCTAACCTTTGTCTTCTCCATGTGCACATACACACACACAAACACATATACACACATGCAAACACATACAC